CGAACGTTTCGCCTACATCGTATTCGGAATCATCAGTGAGCTTAGCCATTCTTAAGACCACACTACAACTCGTCAAATACACTAGTCTCTGCTTGTTTCGTACATAAACGTACACATAAAGACATGCAAACACACTTTTATTCCCAATTAGGTGTGATTTTCTCTTTGGCGAGTTGCAGTGTGGTGCCAGGAGTGGCAAGGCACATCTGAGAATGTGCTAAGTCACGGTCCGAATTTGGAAATTATCATGCATACTATGGACTCCGGACAAGGTACAATTCTCTAGCTCTTCCTGACAATACGATCAAGTTGTGAAAACAAAGTCAAATAACTTCCATTCATATAAAGTGTATCTAGTCGTGGCAGTGTGGCGTATTGGTTAACATGTCGAAGTTATGCAGTGTACTATCAAGGTTTGAGCTCCGCTAGGGGTGTTACCGAAACCAATTTAGGCGAGGCCGACAATCCATCCTGGATGGAAATAGCTTCTGGGAAACAAAGCTATGTGAAATTCATAAGAAATGTAAGGCCTACTCATATGATTGTAGATAAATTCAACTACGAGTCCTTAACCGAAATAGAATGGATACATCTCCTATATGTAGATGTAGTCTGGAAAGCATATTTGCAGACTTCTGACCTTGCAGCCGGCCATCTTTATTGTCTTCGGGCATAGTGAATTATCTAAAATACGATGAGTAAGTAAGTGTTGATGAATCTTCTCATGTAATATTGTTGGATAGGTTTTCATCTCATATGAAAATGCATGAAGAAGAGATGCAAAGTTCGATCTCGTCGGAAGACGATGGCTGATTGCCGTTGTACTGCAGCCGTTTGGCTTTAATATGATGTTCAGCTTGACACTTTCCACAAGACATCCTCCCTCATTTCGAATGAAAATGGACTGGGCTTTCGTACATCATATGACGGACCTCATCAGAGCTGGAACTCATTCTTGTAAAAATCTCAGGAGGCCTCTTCTTCTTGACCTTGTGTTAACTTGGGACTCTTGCAAAAATGTGCTCCAGCTCTGATGATGTCCATCATATGATGGACGAAAGCTCAGCTTGTTTTCACCAAATTAGAGAGAGAATGTCTCGTGAACTGAGTCAACTTGAACGTCATATCAGAGCCAAACGGCAGCAGTACAACTGGAATCAGCATTTTGATACGAAATTAAAGTCGTCCCAGCAATTAACGTAGAACAGTTGTTCTGCTCTGACGATGGCCGGAATATGGCCAACGAAGACTCAGCAAGATTAGATCAGCGTCGAGGTAGGACGGGCCGAAGACTCATTCGCCCTAATCTACAGTCACAACTCCTGGGAAGCCTCCATTCGGCTTCTTGTGAGACCAAATTACGAATTCCTTCAATTCGCCCCTTCAAAAGAACATCAATGTTCCACAATGTTTGCCTGGTACATTCACCAATTGGCTCCTTTTGCTGAGATCATATCTTTTGTCTCCCTTTGGATCAGCTCCTCGTCTGTATACATCCGAGGGAAGGAAAGTGCTAAAGATGACCTCGTATTCACTAATCCATCTCCTCAGGTTTCACCTTTACATTTGAGAGTTTTGCGAATTTTCCTAAAGTATGATTTTACAATCTGATGATGCCTGTCATATGGCTGGCGAATGCTTCAAATTTCTTCGTCGGAGTCGCTACGGAGGTCTACGGAGGGGCCAAGTTATAAATGTAAACATAATAAATTGCACTACGGCATAAGAATAGATTATGAGATGTGATGAAGGACTGCTAGTAGAATGCTCCCACAATGATATGTGTCGAGCTGACGTTTCCATTAAATTTCACATAGCCTTGTTTTCCCAAAAGTTGTTCTCATCCCGACTGGAATGGACTGCAGTTTCGACCTCGCATCGGTCTCATCAACACCCCCAGCGGGAGTCGAACCGTGACAGTGCAGAATGAGAGTTTGACACGTTAACTACTCGACCACATTGCCACGAGTGCCCTTGGGTCACAGGGAAGATGTGAATTTTAAGGAAGGTCAGGCATTTTGCCATATCATATTCTTTGGTGGTATTGTCGATGAAGCAAACGTATATTTGCTATAACAATCGACTACGTTACTTATTTTTCGTGTTTGAGTAGAGTTTCGAGACTACCGGTAAATCAGTAATATGAGATGTATTCACCCTATTTAGTTTAAGGTGATGAAACACGAAAAATAAGTAACGTAGTCGATTTTTATAGCAAATATGCGTTTGCTTCATCGACAATCCAACCAAAGAATATGATATGGCAAAATGCCTGGCCTTGCTTGAAATTCACATCTTCCCTGTGACCCAAGGGCACTCGTGGCAATGTGGTCGAGTGGTTAACGTGACAAGCTCCCATTCTGCACTGTCACGGTTCGACTCCCGCTGAGGGTGTTGATATGACCGATGCGAGGTCAAAACTGCAGTCCACCCCAGCCGGGATAAAACAACTTTTGGCAAAGCAAGGCAATGTGAAATTCAATGGAAACGTCAGCTCAACTCATATCATTGTGGATAAATTCTACTACCAGTCCTTCGTCACCTTACACGAAATATGGTGAATACATTTCATATTACTGATTTACTGGTAGTCTCGAAATTCTATTCAAACACGAAAAATAAGAATAGATTTCCTTATACCGCAGCTAGGTATTATTATGTCTTCTTAAACACTGTTTCAACTCTACCACATATTCAGTGATTTTGATAGAAATTATGGCCACTGTAGAACGTAGCATCGGTAAGTTTTAACTTAAAGCAAATTGCCGTTGTCGCCTTCACTGTCAACGCTTTGAATGGGTAAAATTCATTTGGTAATTTTCACATACAGTATCTTACCAGCAGCCTTGCTCCTGCCTGAATTCACATACAAATGCACCTATTTCAGAAGCCCGGTATTTGTCAAATATGCTCAAAACGAAGCCAAGCAAAGTGACTTTTTATCATCTTACAGTTTGATGTAGACAAAGTCTTCAGAACCAGTACTTCTAGCATTTCATCTGCCTTTTGGTATTGTATCTGATGACATTCTCATAAGATCTAATAGCTTCTGGTCTGCGGATGTCTCATTCTAGCAGTAAAACTTCTTTTTATTTGGTACAGTTTATGGTGGCTGCAAAGAAGGGCCATACGAGCGTCCAAAAAGTTGCCTATCCTTGTGAAATTATCATGCCTCTTACAAGAAAGCATGGCTTCGCTCGCTAACCCCTGAGCTTGATTGCCATTTCGAAGTTATGATTGCGCAAGCAAGACCGGCTCTTGTCCTGTATGCCTTTAACTATATGTTAGCAAGTCGACTATACAAGACTAATTAGATTGAGCTTTTTTTTGCTAGCCACAACCCTTGACAGACCCCTATAGTCGCCAGTGTTGCCTTAGCGTCACACTTTTCTTGCGAAATAGATGGAGAGGCGAACCGGCAACATGATGGTACCTATGGACGTGAATACAAGCGCACAAGTGGTTTCATTTTTCATTCCTTACAAACGGGGAGCTTTCAAGCACCAATTAAAACTGAACCAGGCCCATGATGTGATCTCCTGGCCCTCTTAATTATACGCCAGCGTGAAAGCGCTTAATGCTAGTCGGCCGTCTGAGCCCCCCCCAGCCAGTCATTGTCTATTCTTCTCACGTCTCTCTTTGAGCTACCTCCTCAGCGTTGTCCGAATGCTCACTCGGAGTTAGGCTCCCTTCCTCACCCCAAATGGCTCTCTCTCTGTGCTCGGGTCAGCTGCACAAGGTCTACATGCTCATCAGCATGTATCGGCACGGTGAAACCGGATTTGCTGGAGGCTGCGTTGACGCAAGACACCGATGCGCCTCGTCTCAGAGAGGCCATTCAAAGGGGTCTACTGAAATGCTCGTTTTACTCGGCCAAGTATGACCTGAGGCTCGATTTGTAAAGGACTCGATCATTCCTGCTTTAAGGCTCTCTCGCACACTCTCTCTCCCCTTTAGTCTTGAAAGTGTCCGTTTTTAATTTGATCTTTCGAGCTCTTGCCCTCCCCTCCTCCTCCCACCGTACTCAACTCATGCGCCATTTCTATACCAAACGCACCAATTGACTCCGGTTGCTGAGATCACAACGCTTGCCTCTCTTTTGATCAGCTCCTCGTCTGGATGCGTTCGAGTGAAGAAAAGCGTTAAAGATGAACTCGTGATCACTAGTTCATCGCCTCACACTTTCCGTACAGGCCGTCAACCGTGGATACTCCGTGATTTGACCTGACTCTACCTTGAAACACCTGGTAGCGGCAAGACCATATATTGTATGAAAACTACGGACAATCAGTCAGCATCTATGGTCTACTGTTCATCCGAATCACCTTCACCTCCTTTCATCTCATCCTTCTCTTCATCTTCCTATTCCTCCTGTTCCTCCAACCATCAACTGGCCTTCTCTTCTTTCACCGGCGGCCAGCAGACTGAACTCTCGACGATGCCTTCCTGCTCCTCGGCAATCCAGTTGTACGCATCCTTATGGGGCAGGCTGTACTCTCCCAGCGCCAGTACGACTCCCGAGTGGAGTAAACCTCACATGTTGTCCTTTGAAAAACCGCCGTCCAACTCACCACGAAGTTCGTCTCCAGCTTCAGCAGGTTCCGGCAACTTTGGAGCCCGACATGAAGTGTTACCAGGCTCGGGCATCGCCTTCACCGCCGGCCCCATCTTGGCTGACAGTGAACTCGTGTATGATCCCAATTATATTCCTGCTGGAGGCGACAACTTTTCCGTCAGTACTGATACAGCCAACCCGGCTCATTCGGATGTCCACACCGTCAGTTGCCCTCTAACATGGACATACGCCGACGTCTACCCACATCTGGCCTACATTCCTACTCCCGAAGAGATGCTAGCAGACAAAGATGCCTGGCAGGAAAAGCTCCCCAAAGGTAGGACACTCAAATTATCCGCTCAACTTCCTGTTAATGCGTCAGGGCGTAGGGAAAATGCAGTTCTTGTAAAAAAAGACCACGCAGTATATGATGTTGGGAGATGTTATAAGATGTATTCACCCTATTTCGTTTAAGGTGATGAAGGACTGGTAGAAGTAGAATTTTCCCACAAATGATATGAGTTGAGCTGACGTATTCCATTTTACATAGCTTTGCTTTACCAAAAGTTGTTCTCATTTCCGCTGAAGTGGACTGCAGTTTCGACCTCGCATTGGTCTTATCAACACCCTCAGCGGGAGTCGAACCACGACAGTGCAGGACGGTAGCTTGACACGCTAACCACTTGGCCACACTGCCGCGAGTACCCTTGAGTCACAGGGCATAGGTGAATTTCAAGGAAGGCCAGGCATTTTTGCCATATCATATACTTTTGGTGGAATTGTCGATGAAGCAAACGTATTTTATGCTATAACAATCGACTATTATACTTTATTTTTTCGAATTAAGTATTATTTTTCGTGACTACCAGTAAATCAGTTATAAGATGTATTCACTCAACTCATAGCATTTGTAGGAAAATTCTACTTTACCAATCCTTCATCACCTTAAACGAAATTGGGTTAATACATCCTTTAACTGATTTACTGGTAGTCACGAAAAATAATACTTAATTCGAAAAAATGTTGGGAGATTGTCAGTGTGAAAAATGGCAACACCAAAGTAGGATTACTGTGCTACTGGCCCTATTTCATTTCATTTGAAAAGGTGGGTGGAAAGGCTTGGTAAATTGGCCTCACCGGACACCGAAGAAGGATTACCTTGGGTTTGTGACTGCTGGATTGTGGCCCAAACACCTCGGCTCATCATCATGTGACAACGATGAATCCGTGCCACCAGAAAACACTAAACCTATGTGGTTGGTTGTAAATATATATTTGATATCCCCAATTTCGATATCCTGATGAGGCATACCATGATTTATTCGCAGTCTCCTTTCGTTGTATAGAAGTTGTTTGACCTTGTTTTCGCAACATGGTCATATTGGTAGGAA